AATCCCACAAGGTCCAAAAATTCTCAAGGTCCCAAATTCCCAAGGTACCAAATTTTCAAGGTCCTAAATTCTCAAGGTTCAAAAATTCTCAAGGTTCCAAACTCTTGAGGTTCCAAGCTCTCGAGGTTCCAAACTCTCAAGGTTCCAAGCTCTCAAGGTCCCAAGCTTTCAAGGTCCCAAGCTCTCAAGGTTCCCAACTCTCAAAATTCCAAGCTTTCAAGGTCCTAAGCTCTCAAGGTCCCAAACTCTCAAGGTTCCAAGCTCTCAAGGTCCCAAGCTCTCAAGGTCCCAAGCTCTCAAGGTTCCAAACTCTCAAGGTTCCAAACTCTCAAGGTTCCAAGCTCTCAAGATTCCAAACTCTCAAGGTTCCAAAAGGTCCCAAGCTCTCAAGGTTCCAAACTCTCAAGGTTCCAAACTCTCCAAATTCCAAACTCTCAAGGTTCCAAACTCTCAAAATTCCAAGCTCTCAAGGTCCCAAACTCTCAAGATTCAAGCTCTCAAAATTCCTAACTCGCAAGGTCCCGAATTCTCAAAGACCTAAACTCTCAGGGTCCCAAACTCTCAAGGTCCAAAATCTCCAAAGCTGCAAAGTCCCAAGATTCCAAATTCCCAAATTCCCAAGGTCCCAAATCCCCAAAGTCCCAAATCCCCAAATATTCAAACCCCAGAATCTCCAACCTCCAAATTCCCTCAACTTCCCAAAATCCCCAAGAACCAGAACTCCTCCAAACTTCCTCCAAACCTCTCCAATCCCCCAACTTCTCCCTACATACTTCCTACCATCTCCTCACAAAGCTGAAATACCAACAAACTCGAACCTATAAACTATTCCAACCAAAGGCAGCCTACATTCACCAAGAAATCCCTTTACACAAATACTTGCACTGCAATATTACACCCAAGTAACATAGTAACACAAAAGTCCCTAAAACAACAGAGTAAACACCACCCCCTGTCGTTCAGCTGTCAGAGATATTCTGTTACACGATATCCCCAACAGAAGAAGGAGGGTGTGCAAGGTTTTACGAGATGCAAATGTCGGCCAGTCGGACAGTCAGTCAACCGCACCATCAACTTGACCACCGGCTTCTGAACTTCACAGACCGTGTCCCTGTTCCTCTTCGGCTCTGCTTCACCGAATGTGAAACCTGCAAAGGCTTTCAAACTACAGCTCCGAGTTACGACCTCGCCCAGAAGAGCTGCAGATTCGCCGCTGCACGTAAATATCTTAGGGTAAATTGCTGTTGAAGCGAAGGTAACTTGCCTAGCGATACGGAGCCTATTTTACTTATCGATCGGTGATTTCAACGATGGGAAACCTGCATAGGCGATGTCGATGTTTACGACGCTGCGATTTTCGATGTGGAGGGTTCGGGATTTTTGTAGATGTTGAGCAGGTGGGGAATTATTTTGGTGGAAGTTTGAGATTTAATTTTGGGGAATTTTAGGGGATTTTAGGGGATTTTGAAGGTGGAACTTTGAAGGTTTTGGGCATTTTGGGGTTTTTGGGGATTTTGGAGAAGGTGGAATTTTGGGGTTTTTGGGATTTTGGAGACGGTGGAATTTTGGGGTTTTGGGGATTTTGGAGAAGGTGGAATTTTGGGGTTTTGGGGATTTTAGAGATGGTGGAATTTTGGGATTTTTGGGGATTTTGGAGAAGGTGGAATTTTGGGGTTTTGGGCATTTTGGGGTTTTTGGGATTTTGGAGAAGGTGGAATTTTAGGGTTTTTGGGATTTTGGAGATGGTGGAATTTTGGGGTTTTGGGGATTTTAGAGACGGTGGAATTTTGAGGTTTTTGAGATTTAGAGAAGGTGGAACTTTGAAGTTTTGGAATTTAGAGAAGGTGGAACTTTGAAGTTTTGGGATTTAGAGAAGGTGTAACTTTGAATTTTCGGGATTTAGAAAAGGTGGAACTTTGAAGTTTTGGGATTTAGAGAAGGTGGAACTTTGAAATTTTGGAATTTAGAGAAAATGGAACTTTGAAGTTTTGGAATTTTTAAGACTGTGGAACTTTAGGGTTTTGAGGATCTTAGAGAGAGTGGAATTTTGGAGAATGTGGAACTTTGAAGTTTTGGGATTTAGAGAAGGTGGAACTTTGAAGTTTTGCAATTTAGAGAAGGTGGAACTTTGAAGTTTTGGGATTTAGAGAAAATGGAACTTTGAAGTTTTGAGATTTTTGAGACTGTGGAATTTTCGGGTTTTGAGGATCTTAGAGAGAGTGGAATTTTGGAGAATGTAAAACTTTGAAGTTTTAGGACAGTAGAATTTTCAGGTTTTAGGGAATTTAGGAACAGTGGAACTTTGAAGTTTTGAGGATTTTTGCGACTACGGAATTTTACGGTTTTGGGAATTTTCGAGACAGTGGAACTTTGAAGTTTTCAAGATTTTCAAGACGGTGGAACTTTAAAGTTTTTAACGTTAAAAAACATAACATCAAATTATTTTCCTAACAAACAAGTCCATAAAAGCAGATTTTAAAAACTCACTTAAAATAGCAAGCACATAAACATTTAATATTAACTACAATAATACAGTACAGTATACCGAGAACATAAACGCGAAGTTTATTTTTGACAAAGCATATAATTACACTTGAAACGCAGCTATAAACAACAATTACGACTCGTGAATTACCGTAAACACATCAGTTACGCGTTCTGTTTCTTTTACTCGATTATAAACGCCTATGAAACGTATAGATTTTCTTGTCGATTAAAATTAATTATCATTTCTGAAGTACCTCGTTAAAAAAAATGAAATTTTAATACCAGAATAAAATATTCGATATTTACAACTCGTATAAAGTATCAAATGGTATAAATTTTCTTTTATGACCAACTCTTTCAATGCGTCATATTTTACGGTAATTGTCATTAAATATTAAAAGCTTATATTAAAAGAATACGCGTACCTAAAACCTTTGAGCACGTGCGTTGTTCATCGATTTAATATTTCGTTTTACAACCCAGTTATGAGAAACTTACCCTATAGGACAGTCACTTCGAGCATTTTAAAATAAAGATCGTCAGTTTTAAATGTTACAGCCGATAAGTTACGCATACCGAAAGAACCAGCCGGGTAATACGCGATTCCACGAATTCAGAGCATGGTACGACTTCGTATAATATTCAATTAGCCTTAACTACCGTAAAACAGCCTCCTTTCTTCTGCTGGTACTTTATGCATGACTGGCCAATAGGTAATTTTAACTTCGACCGAGAGCCTTTTCTCATTTTTTGCTGAGAGCAATGCAAAAGGGAAACGCAAGAATCTCTAAACAGAGACTACTCACAAAAACGAGAACACGGTTAAACGCCTATTTAAATATGTACACTCCGGAGCAACGTTGCGTTATTGTACTTGAAGGGAGCTTAGGAAGACTAGGTACACTTGGGGGAAAATTTGACAACTTGGGAAATTTTGATGTGAAGAATTTTTGAAGTGGGAAATTTTGGAATTTGGAATTTTGGAATTGAGAAATATGGAATTGGGAAGATTTGAAATTAGAAAATTTGGAATTGGGAAATTGTAGAATTTGAAAATTTTTGAATTTGGAATTTTTAAAATTTGGGAATTTTTGAATTTTGAAATTTTGGAATTTGGAAAATTTTGAAATTGGGAAATTTTGGAATTTGAAAGTTTGGAATTGGAAAATTTTGGAATCGAAAAATTTGGTATTGAGAAATTTTGAAAATTTGGAATTGGGAAATTGTAGAATTTGAAAATTTTTGAATTTGGAATTTTTAAAATTTGGGAATTTTTGAATTTTGAAATTTTGGAATTTGGAAAATTTTGAAATTGGGAAATTTTGGAATTTGAAAGTTTGGAATTGGGAAATTTTGGAATTGAAAAATTTGGTATTGAGAAATTTTGAAATTGGGAAATTTTGGAATTGGAAAATTGGGAATTGGGAAATTTTGAAATTTGAAAATTTGGAATTGGGAAATTTTGGAATTGGAAAATTTTGGAATTGGAAAATTTTGGAATTAGGAAAATTTGGAATTGGGAAATATTGGAATTTGGAAAATTTGGAATTGGGAAATTTTGGAATTGGAAAATTTTGGAATTAGGAAATATTGAAATTTGGAAAATTTGGAATTGGGAAATATTGGAATTTGGAAAATTTGGAATTGGAAAATTTGGAATTGGGAAATTTTGGAATAAGGAAATTTTGGAATTGGAAAATTTGGAATGTGGAAAATTTGGAATTGGTAAATTTTGGAATTCCAAATTTTGGAGTTTGGAAATTTTAGCATTTGGAAATTTTGGAACATTGAGATCACTGAATTTTGAAATCTTAGTTTCCAAAACCCCCCAATATCCTGTAATTCTAAAACTTTTAATTTTAGAACTCTAAAACGTCCCCTTTATCAGCTACCAAACTTCCGCGCACAAAAGCGTAATTTCGAAACAAAAAGCCGTAATAAATATATACTTCTGTACGATCGATAATTCTACCCTTACTTTTCATCATTAATAGCGCCATATACACAGCATCGACACCCCCATGGTGCAATTAATAATGTAGTCCATCTACATACACGGTGACTAAAGTTGTACATAGTGATCCCTTTGAGGTAGAGACTCCCTGTTATAGCCCTACTGGGAGCCATTAAAACTTTGCTTACATAATAAATGATAGAACCTGCTAATATCATGGTCTACTGAGAACATACGGTGCGTGCTTTCTTGAATAAATTAAAGTCCGCTGAATAATTTATATTCAATAATATGTAATAATAGAGAACGGTGTATAATCTTTCATGCAAATTATATTTCTCTGATACTAATAACCTGACGTTGACATATTAAATTCGACAAAAGTTGTAATTGAATTTACGTTATAAAAATAGCTGTACTTTAAGTACTTATTCAACTAACATTTATGATGTCAGTTTATTGAATACATTTAGAATTTATTAAACTGAATATTTCTCAAAGTTAATTTAAAAACTTTTACTTCAAGTAAATCATTTGTTAAAAAATATAAATCACTCACCCTATTTTGGTGATCAGCTTTCCATGGACATGAAGATAGGATGTGACAAATCGTTTATTCACCTGAAACAAATAGAAAATATAAAAGTTACATCACTGTAAAAATATGAAAATCACTTTTTAATGTTTTTACAATTAAATATAGAATCGTACGAAAATAAAACTTGAAGTAATATCTAATATTATTGCAAGGTTCTTACCTCGACGCTGCTTAGTTGTGCCAATTCTTCTAAATCACTATGAGATAATCTCGCTTCGTTGGCAGTGGCTGCGGTAGTTGTACGACGAACACGTCTTCCACCAGGATGAATCCAAATTTCTCTCCTCAACCCTCCTCCAATATTATTTGCTCCTTCTTTCTCTTTCATCCTGGCTCTTTCCTTCCACTCTCTCTCTTCCTTTCGTTTTCGTTCCGTGGATTCATACTAATAAAATACATTACGAGTTAAGTATTCATATTATTGCTACTGCACCTTCACTAACAGCATACTGCATAGCGTAAATGAGAGTTTACTGTACACTTTGTTCATCGAAGTACCATTTTACTATTCACATAATCTCTCAAATACTAATAAAAGATACAAGCATCATACACCTGACGTGTAAAAAGCTCGTTAAATATTTTTATCTTCCAGCTGCGACTATTTAAAAAAATGCATGCTAACGTTGTGTGCAAAATAGTGCTACCTAATACGTAGTGCTTTGGTTTATCCGACAAAATGCAGCAAACTATAATTGGAATAATGTTTAAACTATTTTTCTAGTTTTGGTGAATACTACCATTTCAAATTACTTTATGTTATTAATCTTAAGCATAGAATGATTTGCCTCTGAACGATTTTGGCTGTACCAAGCCATCGATTAATTTGAATGGTTGTAAGCGTGCGAGTAGGCTTATGATATATTAGGTATCGTACAGCTTATGGAAGGCTGTCTAAAAAACATGAGGTTGATAATATACCTAACCTAACATGAAACATTAAAATATCGTACAAGTTAGGTTAGGTGTACTACGAACCACATACTTTTAAGGAGTCTTCCTAAAAGATATACGCTACCAAACTGAATATACGCGGAACAAAGGGAGCATATCAGAGAGTTCGGAAAGATAGAACTAATTCAAGCTGCAGTTTAAGATAACTGGTATCTAGAGATATCACACCAAGTATCGAAATTTACTTACATAATGTAGATACTGGCAGCAAAACAAAATCAAAATATTATTAACGTTAGTATTAATACAAACGTGAGAGTAAAGTGTTTAAAAAATTGTCGTACCTTCTTCCTATTTTCATCAAAGAGTGCTATTAAACTCTCCCTTGCGGAATGAAGAGGATTGGATGCCATCAGAGATCGCATGTAATAATATACTGCATCTAACTTTCGTCTCTGAAAAGAAAATCTAACTTAGAATTTGTTATTTACTTTTATCATGAACTATATCAGAATACGTACAGCGTAATGTGCCAATAACGCGAGCTGACTGTAAGGTCTTCCGTTCTTTGGATTAAGTTGTTGCGCTTTCAAATACCATCTAGAGTAATGTTTAAGTTTGAATACACGGAGCATTTAAAAGAAGTATAATTATGTATGTTTTCACTTACTGCCTAGATTTTCCATAATTGTTCGTTTCATTAGCTTGTTCTCTGTACCTTGCGAGGTCACCCAAGAACAAGTATATCTTTTGCGCGCTTACTAGAGCTAAACCTAAGATTCCAAGACCCTTAGGCAACGTTGATGATGCGAGGAACGTATCCAATTTAAATTCGTACTTCGTTTCAAGAACAGTTAACAAGCCCTCCAAATATACGGTACCCTCATCGATGATCTTCAACATTATTTTTTTATAATGCTCGCGGCCCTCGGGATTCTCTTTAGGCATGCCTTTACGCAGCATTTCAATCATATTGTAAAAAAGTATTTTCCAAAAGTGTTGCTCGACGTTCTCAGCTTGACAAAATTTGATATCAGTCTCGAGCAAGGTTTTTAAACTTTCTTGTAGAAAGTGTCTTATGTACAAAACTCTCTCCCAGTTTGACGTGAAACCACCGGAACTTAATATCCATTGCAATTCTAAATCGGCGCGTTCTATATCCAAAAGTAAGTAAGGATTTTTGGCTAATCGGAAACTAAAAGAAATTCGACAAAAATTAATAGCTGCGCATTGGTATATGACGTGTTTTATAATTTTTACATACCTATCTGAATAAGGATCATACCACGATGGTCTTATATTACCAAATTGGTCATTTGTCATGTATGGCGGCGGTACACCATCTAAGTGTGTTCCCTGGAAACTATGATGCGTTGAAGTAATGCCTCCATGGGACTGAAACACTGGTACAGTCGAACTTTGTGGCATAGTATCGCTTTCTCTGAAACGTCCAGTAATTGAGTAAATAATTTCACTGAAATGAATAAAGGGCACAGGGGAATAAAGAGTTATACCTTTGCACTGCAGCTCTACTACTAGGTGAAGTAACAACAATAGGTTTATTAGGATTGTTGGGATCGAATAGTGTCCTTTGCTGTTGAACAACTTGCTGCCTCGAAGCTGAGTGACTAGGCGGAGATTGGCCTGTATCGGGTAGCACTAAGACACCTGGTGATTGTGAGCTACTGTATCCACTAGGTGATGTCTGATGCGTTGCCAAATTCAAAGTAGTATTCGATAAAGGAATAGAGTAAGAGGAAACATTAGGTGTTTGTCGTCCGTCACTAGACTCACAAGCTGACATTTTTCTACCTGTTCTCCAATTCTCATCTAAATATCGATCAGATAATCTGAAAATCAAACATGTTAATAAAACATTAAATTTTAATATTTAGATCACGGAAACTGTGACTTTCACAAAATAATTTATACCTATGTCTATGAAGATCGTCGAAGTTTCGATTACCTCCACGATAATTTCTATCTTTACTAGATTCTCGACTACGTTGAATAATATTGCGATGTCTTCTATGGTCATATCTTCTACCACTACTGTTCTTTTGATTGTTGTTGTAGTTATCATTTTCCCTATTTTGTTGATTATTTTGCCTGTCACGGCTGTTAACTCGAGCTTTATCTCTGCTATTACTCCTTAAATAAAATAAAAAATAAACGCACTATGAAGTTCACTGTCCTCCGTATAAAAATATTTTGATAATACAAAACATTAACATTCACAGCTCTTACCTGCCTCGATCCGCTGCGTGTTTCTTCTCACGCCTTTTTTTTTTACGCCGACTATAACCACTTGTTGTGGTTTCGTTTCCTGGTACATTAATATTTTCGCGTAAACTCAGCACAGAAGAACTACGACTTGCGCGCTCAGCTTCTAGCCTTTCGCTTAATTCAACTTCCTCGCTCCAATCCTGAACATATCATGATTAGAATGTAGTTGAGTTTTAACTACAAATACATACATTTCAAACACTTACAAATGGATGTTCAACCGATGTATTTGATCCTGTGTTAACAGATTCACTTTTTGATGGGCTAATTCCTAGATTTTGTTGACCATTTTTATCTTCCTGTGATATACTGCGCTCAATCGTGTTGTTACTTAGACGTTGTCTGGAAACAAATATAAAATAAAATAAACAACCATGATGAAAGAATAGTCATTTGATTCAGATAAGTACGTTTGAGAACGGTGAGAAGCCGCAGATGGAGATATTCCTCGACGATGACTATCGGGTGAAGTTTGACGTTTAGTTGTGTTAGATGTTGAAGTGACAGGTGATGCTGACGACGGTGGTGGCATCATTGAACTATCAGCCCGACTTAAACTTTCCATACTAGTATACATAGTACTATTACTACCACGACGATCATAGGACCTGTTTTAAACAATTAACTTTATTAAATACTTTTTTAATATAAAGAAAACTAAATTACTGATATCTGAAAAAATATACCTTGGCATATACTCCTGGCTTGGCGTATGAGATCTGGAACTTGGAGCTGAATACTGATCAGGTGTAACACACCTAAAAATGTTAGTTGAAGTTTCTAAATCTTCTGGTCTAAGTCTACCTCTGCCTCTACTTCGTGCTGGAACTGTATTAGACCAGCTAGATTGTGGAGGTAATGGACCAGATGGAGGTAAATTTTGCATAGTTTGTGAATGTTGCATTGCAGGTGGAAAATTATAATTTGATGATGCCTTTAAAAGAGAGTTCATACATCAAAAAGTTTGTAAAAACATTATAAAAGTTGAGTTAAAAAAAAAAATGTTTACCTGAAAAGTGTTACTACTACTACTCCATGCATCTTCTGAAGGTGATGAACTTGGTGGTAATGGTAAACCATTATCAATAAAATATTTTTTCTGTAATCTAGGTGGTAAATGTTCTATTTTTATATTTTTTGGCAAACTATCTTTTGCTCCACCCCATTTACCTGAAGGTGGTTTGCCTTGAAATTTTTCTGGATGTCCAACGGGTTCTACGCTACGTGTGTCTCTAGTGCGATTAAAATCATTTATGTGATTCGTTGTTACAAAAAGAGGTTCTGAACCCTATATAAATATTACAAATTAAGTAAAGGAGTTATTGTATCGAATTGAACACATAATCATTAAACAAGTAAACATCCCTGACCTGTCTAACTTCACGAGAACTATCTTTACGACATCCATAACTTCTACTGGACAAAGGAGAATCCGATCGCCAACGTTCCTCATTGTCATTACCATGCCGATTTCGACGATTACCCGAATATCTTTTGCCATGATCATCTCTGTTTTTACTTCCGCCTTCACTGTTTCGTCCGTGACCACCTGAACGATTACGTTGACTATCGCTTTTGTGGCTACGATTGGAATGAGAATCACGATCTTCGCTATGTTCTCTATCTTGATCCCGATTCCAACCCCCTTGATTGGGTGATCTAAAGGATAAGGATAATAAGATATTTACTTGATCCACGGTTTGTCATTAATAGTGAAACATAAACATTTCCAAATATAATTCACCTATTTATTAAATCCTGTTCAACCAATGATTCTTTTACTTTTTTGGGTACATACAATTGTTGCTCTGGTTTCTTAGATTTTTTTTTGGAATCTCCACAATTGCTGTTCTGAGAAGAACCTTGTGCCTGTTCAATGTTTGTAGTACTTTTGTAATTGATATTTAAGTCATTTAATTTTTCTGTTACGTTTTCAACTTGAGATGATGGTGGGCTGTTTTGTGTTAGATTGGATCTATTGGATTGTGATTGCTTTAAACGATATTGGACGGAGCTTGATTTAGGTTTTTCTTGTGGTATATTTTCATTATCTAAATCGTCTGTAGATCTACCAGACTTTCGAAGAGGTCCACTTCCTGGTCTATATAAAGCTTGAGATGCTCTATTTCCTCCACCTCGCATTCCCATTGATTTATCCTTCTCTAATTTTGTATTCTCTGAAAATTATTAGTTTTTTTTTCAAAATTGTTTATTGATATTTAGACAATATTTAACCATAACATGTAGATATAAAACTAAATAATTTATTAGAACTCTATATTTACTTTAATTATATAATATGTTACATTTATTTATACAATATTCCAATCACAGCTAAAAATAAAATTTCAGCAAAGTTACATGCTATTGAAAGACTTTATTACAAATTGGTAAGTAGTTATTAGATAACGCACATTCAATTTTATGAGTGATCATACCTGTCCAACTCATATTTAAATAGTTTTAACTAATTCTTATATTTAAATTACACATAAGTTCTAAAAACGAGGGATACAGTAAAATGATAAAATATTATCCTAAAAATTTTAAATAAATGTATAAAAAAAACTAAAAACTTACATGAAATATCATAGCTTTTTATTAAGGGAGAAATAATAAATTTTTATAAATAATTAACATTGACTAAATAGTAACAAATTTTTGTAAAACATTCTTGGAGAAAGTGATTAAAGTTGTATGAGAAATGCTTATATTTTCAATGCTTTTCACTTACATTAATGGTAATACTTCACATATAATATGATACAACTTTGTCCAATTACAGTAGTCAAATGTTTAGATTAAACTGATATAAAGCTTAGTTAAGTATATCAATTTAATGCTGATTGTTGACATTCCTGACAGTAACTACATTTACTAATAATCAACAAAAATTAGATATGATAGTTATGTAATCTAGATCGATTTGAAATAAATTTACATTTTCTAGAAAAGTCTGAGAGAAATTATAGGGAATGTTAAATTTATTTCTTACTCTGGTTAAGTTTCACAACATATCACAGCATAATAATTCCCGCTGTAATTTTAGGTTAGCTTGTTTGATGAGGTTAGCACTGTGAATGCACTCGATAGGAATACAAGGAAGCATACATAATTATTAACTATGCGCACATAAAATGTAACCATAAAATAGTAAATTAAGATATTTATGTTATTTAATAATGTAGTTTTTTCAAAGTACCTTGTAAAAATCCTCCCCACTTTCTGCGTCCTTTGTCGCGGTTCGCCATATTGAAGTACAATCGTATCAAAATTTTTATAAACTCAAGGAATATGAATTTATACTCTGTTCCACGAGAGAATACAGATAAATGACAACTTGCGCAACTCAGCACCTAGGGGGTTTCCTAAAAACGAGTATGATGCTTCTCTAAAACCTCTTTCTGTCTTCGTGGTCATATACACGGTAAGGAAAAATAAACGAATAATGAGGCTTGATATTAATACGATAAACGTACAAGATAAAAAGAATATTGTACTCAATTCTTTTGATATATTCATAACATATATGTGATTATAGAACAATAGAGTATCTCACATAACGAACAGGATATACTGCAATTAACAATTACAAATCACAAAAGTTTCTGTCTGCTGAGTATATACGTTCGGCGTTGTAATCGTCATAAAAGCACATGCGCGTTGCCATATATTAAAGAATACGTAGAACTGAATGTTAACATGTGCAGAAAAAACGAAAGTTTCGTTAGCTAATTACTGCACCTTCTCGTGGTATAAAACGAATATAATTTTTGAATGCATATATTTCGAAGTATCTTTATAAAAATATATTGCGAATTATAGTTCATAAATTTATTTTATTTATGAATATACACAAATCAATGCTGGGGACTGCAAGTTTTGTTACTATACGAGTGAACTAGCGTTTTGTAATGTGAAAGATGGTGTTTATATCATAAATTTCAAGATGAAATCAAAGATTTATGTTTATTATCAATAACGTGTAAAATGAATGCGAAAAATATTTGTATCGAATGTAATGTACAAAATTTTCTCTCAGAAGGAACGACAACGGAATAGTATATAACCTTAGTACATCAGTTTCAAAAGATCTACTCTTACCGGTCAAATGTTTACTCCTCTCGTTATCATTAATCGTACACTAACAACCGCTGCAAGATGCAAACGGCGGGTTGTAGTGACAGGAATAGGAATAGTGTGTCCTCTTGGAATCGGTGTACAAAATGCCTGGCAAGCTCTCATTAACTCCAAGTCGGGTATTACGAAATTAAGTGAACCCGAATATGACAAGTTACCTTGTAAAGTCGGTAAGAATTTTTGGATTTTTTATGGAAGTGAATGACTTTCTTTATATAATATAAAAATATAACTGCTTCCAAATAGGTGCATTAATACCCAAAGGAACTGAACCCAATCAGTTAAACATCGATTCTTACTTTTCAAAAAGTGAATTACGCACAATGTGTCCTGCTACTGCATACGCATTAATTGCTACAGAGGAGGCATTAAATGATGCTAACTGGAAACCAAATGATGAAACAGATAAACAAGATACAGGAGTAGCAGTAGGAATTGGAATGATAGATTTGGTAGATGTGTGTACAACATATGAAGCTTTAAAAAAGGGATACAATAAAGTCAGTCCATATTTTGTGCCAAGGATATTACCAAACATGGCTGCAGGGCAAATTAGTATTAAGTATGGTTTCCGTGGACCAAATCATTCTGTATCAACAGCATGTGCAACTGGTGCACATGCAATTGGTATAACAAAATTAAACAAGAGTATAAAGTATTTACTATTTTGATGGTATAACTAATTGAAATTTGAACCCTGTAATTTTTAGGTGATGCATTTCGTTTTATTCGTGGTGGAGAAACTAGTGTAATGGTATGTGGTGGAGCAGAAGCATGCATTAGCCCTCTTGCTATAGCTGCTTTCTGTAGACTACGAGCATTAAGTACTAGTAAAAATGATTTTCCATATGAAGCATCAAGGCCATTTGACAAGGACAGGGATGGATTTGTGATGGGAGAAGGTGCTGCTATATTAGTTTTGGAAGAACTAAATCATGCACTTGAAAGAAAGGCTAAGATTTATGCAGAAGTATTGGGGTATGGTTTATCGGGTGATGCTGCACACTTAACTGCACCTAGTGAAGATGGTACTGGTGCTATATTAGCTATGGACAGAGCTGTAAAAGATGCTGGCATAGAAACTGTAGATATTACGTTCGTCAATGCACATGCAACTTCTACTCCTTTGGGTGATGCAATTGAATTAAAAGCTATAGAGTCATTTCTAGGACAACATAGTAAAAATGTTACTGTGTCTAGTACAAAAGGTGCTCATGGCCACTTGCTAGGAGCTGCAGGAAATTTAGAAGCTATTTTTACTATTCTAGCAATAAAAGAAGGCATAATCCCACCAACACTAAATTTGCATAATTTAGATATGGAAACAAATTTAAACTTTGTCCCTAATGTAAAAAAATGCTGGAACTCAACTTCAAAACGGGTAGCTTTAAAAAATGCTTTTGGGTTTGGAGGAACTAATGCGTGCTTATGTTTTGCACAGTACAACAAATAAGCACATAACCATAAAGGTATCATAATTTCATAAATCATAATAACACACGACGCAACAAAAGCTAGTCATTCCTGAATGTACATTAATTAATACATACACTGTGTCTGCAAGAAACATATGCATAATTTTACTTCTTTATATTGAAATGAAATATAATTATATTAAACCACATTTAAGATTTAAGCTGTAATATAGTGGCTTAAATATTTTTTTAATACTTTTATGTAACATATGACACAAAACTCATGTAATATATTATGTAAAGAAAAACATTTTTATATTATATATTATTTGTACAAAATTGTACAGAGAAATGTAATTTGAAATTATATAATACATAGTGGAATGCGATATTTATTTTGTATTAATTGCTTTTAATATTTTCCGATTATATCATTATTACATTTATACCCATTCTGCAGAAAAACAAGACGAAACTTCTGCTTTGCATAAAATAAAATTTTCTTCAAAGTATGTAATAATTAATGAATTTAACCATCTACACAACAATTGCTTGCTACGTGCAGTTGATTATAATATGCCATATTTTCGTGGCTAATACGTGCTGATAAAAATGATTGTTTAATTATACAAGCATATAGAAATCAGTCTCATTTAACTCTGAAGGCTGATATTACATACTTGTTTGTGCATTGATCCGATATCTCGCTTTTTTTTTTTTAAACCAGTTTTCAGAGTTAATATTTGACTATATATATATATATATATATGTGTGTATATATATATTCTAAATTTCATTCATTTATAATTACATTTCCATCTACAAATGTCTTTTATTTTTATGAATTCAACTGCATAGAAAACAACAAAATTCAAGGCATAATTATTTGTTGATACCTCTAGTTTATTAGATGCAATTCTCGCTCGCAGATAAACCATACCATACGATGAAGTTACGATGTACATCTCCAACGATATTTTATTCACACAGGAAGGTTGACCTCCAATGACAAGTTATCCAAAATACATCTATTGCATTCATGTTTGTCTACTGGCAGTAAATCAATGTAAAAAAGAAAGATTTTATCCTATTAAGTAACTGTACCTAGTAGGAATTCTTAATTAGGAATGATAAAGGGTTTGTGGTGACTGCATAAAATAGCAAAACGTTTTCTAAGTGTCTGACGAAGTTCTTGTCGTTTTTCAAGAACTTGGCACATTCGAGATTTAAATTCCAGAACTTCTTCAGCTGGAATATAACTTTCTTTCTCTTCGTCGTCTGATAAGTAGGAGTCCTAAGAATAAATTGTATTAGAAATAAAACCACTAATGAGAATAACACTAAACCAAATTATATACGTACTTCTAACATCTGTGTAAGCGTTAAACCTCCACCTCTTTCTTTGAGTAAAGAGATACTGGAATTGGAATGAACAAGTTTATCAGATGGCCGTATATCATGACAATCTCTCTCATGATTACAACATCCCTCACTGCACGCTACTTCCGATCCTTCTGGAGTACTAGGAAGAGAAGAACTACTAATATTATGTTCTGAAGAATAACCACAATCTTGAGACGACCGTTCACTCGAGGAACGACTTTTCCTATCTGAGATTGATAACTCAAAACGTTTCTTCATCTCTATCCACATGTTGTATCTTTTGCTTGGTTTTCCTATCCAAGCATCTACTATCTCCTTAGCCATTGGATCTTTACAGTCTTCTAAACTATGCCAGTGATCAATCTTCTCGGAAAAGTCCTGTGCAGGGAATGATACTTAAATCTTATAACACGCGTTAACAGAAATATAGAGCATGCATCGATACATTAAGTTATTACCTTACACGATTCACATGATTCGAAAAATTCTTCTTCAGAAAGATTTTTCACAGGGGTATTATTCTTTTTTGTTTGATTTGAAACAATTTTTGCCTTTGATTCGGAAGAACCTTTCTTAACTGTACTTTTTTGCATATTTGATGATTTTTTGGGGAATGCTAACTGAGTTTGATTTTGTGATTGTGATATACTAGATTTTGATTTCTTTACACAATCCGGACATTTACAAGTTGGTGATCTCTTGTTTTTTGGATCTAATACTTGTAGCTGGAAGGAAAGAAGGTATATTTGTATTATTTAAATTATAATTGCATAATTGAAGAGAAGAAATACATACCTTATGTCGATCTATATTTTGTGTCGTGGGTTTTAAATCTGCACAAACACAAGGTGTATCACTGTTACCACTTTGCCTTTTGCTTGAACACTGAGGATATAAAATTCAGTAAACATATTGATTATGTTCACTAATTTTAGAAATTGAAATATATAAAATAATAACGTACATCACATGCATTTTCTTTTTCTTCAGTCTCATATCGACGTTCTTTCTTCTTCTTGCGTTTCAAACGTAATTTTTCTCGTCGCTGTTGTTTTGCTATTTCTTCTCGTGTTAACTCTTCATAAAGGAGTTCTAGTTGAGAAATACCTTGTTTAACTTCTACAGCCATCTAAACAAAATTACACGATCATGAGTAAATAAATCTATGAATTTGACAATTTTGCAATTCTAGTAATCATACTTGAAAATTCCTAGACAGTGCATCCACTGCAACAGCAGCTAATACTTTGCAAACTGTTTCTTCTTCTCTTAACCGCCTATGGACTCTATGCAAACGTTCGGCAACACATATTCCTAAACACGTAAGTACCTCTTCCTGAGCAATTTCCAGTGTCTTTGCATGTCGTTCCCTATAATTTAAAAATATGTTTTACAACTGAATTGTACAATAAAATGACACTCATGAAATGTCGTAACCGCGCGTACCTTCCCATGAGTTCAGGTTGAGCACGTCCGATAAGGGTACTAATATAATCCGTGTTCGTAGGTAAATGTACATGTCTATCGCGTATACAACGTTTAATACCAGAGTATAAAGCAGCAACATAGCCTTTTTCTTTTGCTGGTTCAGGTTCTGTCGTTAGTAGAGAAGACGCCAATAATACCTTTGTTCGACATTCGCCACAGAATCTGTAATAATGAGGTGATCAACAATTTTTGTACGGAATTAAGTATGTATACGAACCTACCGATGTTTACGCAAATATGTATCTAGAGTGGCTTCAAGAGTATCAGTTTCTATTAAAGCAAGTTCTTGACGACATGGAAGTTCCATACAATCCCATACTTCTTTCCATGCACTGGGAAGAGGTTTCATGCGCTGAATTTCTAACGAGTGCAATACACATCTTCGTGACTTTTTATTTCTGGGTTGTCTTTCAACTAAACTATTTAACCTAGTACTATGAGAAATATTAAAGTTTTTAATATATCTGTTATGTATGCATATACAAGAATATGTATGAAAGATACATAAACAAATACATTCATCAGTTTATTACCTGTGTCCTTGTAACATGGTACAAAGTAATTGCGGTGATTCTAAAACATCGTCTTTTATCGATAATAAACCTTCAGGTGTAATTACCAAAGGGTCTAATGCTGGATGTCCTGATTTCATGAGGTCATAGAACAATCTTTCAACACTAAATACATAATTTTATTAGCTGGTAGAAACATTAAATCTATTTATTTCATATATTATTAAGATAATTTATACCTCCTCCTACATCCAACGCATGGTACAGCTTGACCCAAAATAGCAAGCATATCCTTGCAAGTAACTTCAAAGGAAGCTTTAATCTCCTCTTTTGTGAGCATATCAAGTTTTCTAGTAAATTCATCAAGGTGTTTACCACGGACTAATGGACTATCACAGATTGCTCCCAAACCATTTATATCCATAATCATCTATGCAAAAGAACAAGTAACATATTGAAAAATTGAATTAACTTTGTGTTTCGAAATAAATTCACTCCAAATTTTAATTAAAATAAATTAACTATAAAACAAAATTTGTAAGCCAAGTTTACTTTATGCTGTCTTGTAATTAAATTGAAGATTCATTAATATCACAATTATCATTAACTTTATCATTCAGCTATTCATTTCATTTACTTAATAATATCTTATCAAGGTATAAGCAGAAATCAAAACATTTTGACATTCTTTTCTTCTGAAAGAAAATAATTAAGCCAATAAGTACAACAGCAAAATTACAGAAGTGAATCACGAAACATCTGTTACAATTTTGGATCTACTAACATAGTAACATTTAGTAATTAATCAAAACATAGATATCAAACATAGTACGTTTAATCAGTACTGGCATAAGCATGTACTCATTGCAACGGTTAGGTTAAGTTAGAAATATCATAGGATATCATTACGTAAGTCTCATTAAGACGTTAGTTTTTGATAGTCAAGAACGGCGTTTAAAAAAAAAGTGACAAAAGAGTATCGTGCTCACCGTAAGATTTTCATCGACAATCAACGGCATTTGTCTTCGCGTCAAATCGACCGGGTCATCGTCCCGCCAAACGTTTACTAGCTTCGCCATCGCTATCGAATTCTCTGTTAACAATAATTATACACTGAAATAACGGCTAACGCTGTGAACCGTTACGATGCACAATCACGAATAATTGTGATTCACTGCCACGACTATGCCAAAAAAATAAGAAGACAGTATCATACGTCTGCCATTTGCAACGAGTGGTTTCTCACTTCCGCCCTGCGTGCATTGTCCCGTTTCCCTCTCTAAGCGTCGTCTTATCCTTATTCTAATTGCGCATACCTGTTCTTAATCACTTTTCTCGATATATTTTTTGTAATCTGAAGTTTTACAATTCGTATCATTCATGACAATGCATTTAAACTGATGTAGGTAACGGTATTGCGACTGAGTGTATTAGATCCCGAAAGTGATTTGATACACTTACCTACCACGTAGAAAATCATTTGAAATGCAATCAACAAACGTATATTTAGATATGCATACAATGAAATGTGCGTATATCTACATATCTTCATATGTAATATAAAAAATATTTAACGAATTAAAAAAGTATACTATTTTAGATTTATTTAAGGATACCTACCATTGACATACGAGATAGCAATACAATAGTAACAGTACTTTTACCTTTGTCTGTATGACGGTTCTGTTTATTTTTGTTTCCTAAAGAAATTTTATAAAAAACATGATAAAACATTACACATACATGTAATAACAAGCGACTTTTTTATTTAATTTTTTATTTGCGGTGTATGTAGTACTTATGATTAATAACAGCAACATAATCATGTTTTCAAAGTATGTTTGGTTATTACCGTTATTTGCATCTGTATATTTATTATATTCGAATGATTATCTGAACGATGTCAGACTTAATTTTATGGAAAAATGGTTAAACGCTATTAAAAACGATTATTTTGATTTCAATGAAGAATCAGATTCAGTGTTAAATGATGACCAGAAAATGTTTACATCAAATGAACTTAAGAAATATACAAATTTGAAAGATGGTTTGTATATTTCAATATTGGGTCAAGTTTTTGATGTCACAAAAGGAGCAAAGCATTATGGACCCAGTTCGACTTATCATGCTTTCACTGGTATCATATTTTGTAATGAAATTATATTGATTAAATTTGTCATATGTATAACATATGTTTATATATTTATAGGCCGGGATGCATCATTAGCCTTTATTACGGGGGAGTTTAATGATAATGGCTTGACAGATGACATTTCTTCATTATCAATGCAACAAGTAAAAGCGTTGAATGATTGGGTACAATTTTATAATGAGAACTATGTTTATAAAGGTACTTAAAACATGGTTTTGAATATGAAAAAAGAGTTATAAATAGATGATCTATTTTATTTCTGATCAAGCATAAATATACTTTCTTGAATAGGGAAATTAATTGGTAGATACTATAATGAAAATGGTACACCAACTGAAGAATCTTATAAAGTAAAGAAGATATTAGAACGTATGAAGGAGGAACAATTTCAAGAAGAACATAAAAAAAGGATGTTCCCACCTTGTAATATAGAATGGAATCCAGACTCTGGAACTGTAGTATGGTGTTCTAAAAGAAGGTACATGGTATTATGGTACATAGGAGTATCTATTTCACTGAAATTATGATCTTCTGTTTTTTTTTATAGCGGGGGAATAGAAAGAGATTGGATTGGTGTACCAAGAATGTTATATGATTCTCCAAGCTCTCATCAGTATAGATGTGCATGTGTCAAACTTGACAGTAAAGAATATGAAGAAAATAAGGGCATGATTAGAGAATACATTCAATGTCCAAATACTGCAACAAAATGTGCTGTGAAAACAAATAATTTATAACAAATTGAGACATCTTAGCATTAGTGATCACAATATGTTAATATTTACATTTATAATTCTATGTAAATATTTGATTTTTACTAACTTTTATAAAAATGGAAAACAACTGTAGTACTTCTTCATTATCTTGATACAATTTGAATAATTTAATTTTTTTCTCATTAGTTACAGACGAAGCAAGGCAAATGTAACAGGTTTTCGTTACATTTATCTAACATTAAAATAATTTGAACCAAGATAATGAGAAAGTACTATAATTTTTTATATATTTTGATACGGTATATTGAAATACAACTATAAATAATTTGTAATACAAAATACAATATATTTATAAAGAACAGTACATCATATTTGTTCATTAAGAATGTTTATAGCACTTTTCGTGTTGTCAGTCTTTCTCAGTTTGTGCTGTTTTAAAAGTTCAATAAATTGCTTATTATTGTTACAAAATACAATTTGCCAAACTTTGAAAGCACATACAGTATAATACTATATATTACTTAAATGCATTTGGAAATAATATGATTAAACAAAGATGTATATAACATCAAACTTATGCAAAATTATAAATTAAATTGTTTTATGGATTTCACCTAATAATCTTAAATTTTTCTGGTAATACTTATTTTACCAGAAATCCACATGTGATATCAGTGGCCTCATAGCACAATTGATATATTTTGAAAGATTTCTTCGATGCATATGTATGAACATAATGTAGTATATAAAAATGTTTGTTATGTAATTAATATATTTTAATTTTAAGTACCTTTTATGCTATACTACTTTCAATAGATATATCAAAAATTAAAATATAATGCTACAAATTAGAATCTTTTGAAAAAAAAAAAAGAAATACTTTGTTCAGAGTTTTCCATTTCACAAACCATTTGATTTCACACTTTAATACTTCCACACAGTTTCATTTTATCTCATTATTAACTTTTGCGGGAGATTCTGCTCTAATATCATTTAGCTTATTCAGTAACATTTGCATAGATGCACGTTTTCGTTTAAAATTGCTCTTTGACCCAAACAATTTTTTTATTTTTGCTTTTCTCTTCTTTATTTTGGAATCTGATGGTTTTTGTTGAAATTGTATCATGCGTCTATATCTCTTGACTCCCATATATATTGTACTTTCACTCGTATCATCTTTTTCTTCAAAAATTGTTTCTAAACTGTTTAATTTTCTTTTCAAATTTTTATTTAAGTAATATTCTTTGACATCAATTTCCTTTACTTGTTGCTTATTTCCATTTTCATTAAATTCTGCCCCTATGCTTGTCCTCTTTCTAGGTCTCAAAGTACATCTATTGATACACAGAAATAAGTGATTAAATTGTGATACAAAATGACAAGTATTTTATTATACCTTCTGTTAAGATTTTCATTGGAGTCTGTCACTGTCATTGTTTTTTTAAGTACTTCTTCATCTCCTGGAGTTGCTAAATTATTTGTTACCGTGAGCATTTCTAGACTAGCCATTACTGCAGGTAGATTAGTATCAGCTATGTTGTACACCGTTTCTCTAAAAATAAGTACAATTTATATTCATAAACCATCCAATTATTTAAGAAAATATATTCAGAAGATATTTGTGCATACTATAAAAAGTACTTTAATAAATCTAAGTACACAATAAAAACGATGATTTCTTGCATTGATAAATTATTCAAATGTGTTAAAATATATACCACACAATCATAAATCAATTTGCACGTATTAATATTATTTTTTTAAAAATATGAAAGAAACATACGTCGTTTTAGACGGAGTTTCGTCCATGTTTAAAATTATAATTTTTATTCTTAAATTAAAGTTATTATTCACTAATAAATGATGGTCTTCATTGCACCTCTCCCGCAAAAAACTTAAAAATTATAAAATGTTTAGCACCGTCTATGTATGAAGGTATCTATTTACATATTTGTTTGTCCCTCAATATTTTAAAACAGTTGTCGCGACTTGATCTTGAACTAAAGCATTCACTACTCTTTGGAGCTCTGAGATTAATTATTCGTGCATAATATTACAAATTATGCTTATTTAATCACAAAGTACATTGCGAAAACATATCTCTACGCTAGGAGCAATCATAAACAACAAATCGTAAATATCTCGGAACTGTAGATTTTCTTTTGTTACATTCACCCCACTTTACCACACCATAACTTTTGCAGCACTCCCCATTCTAAACTTTTGCCATAGACCAGGTACAGGGTAGATCATTCACATAATGTACTTTTATGTCACATGATTTGAAGGGGCCCTAAAGCCCCTTAAACTTTTTCGTGTCACGTCCTGTTATACCGACCGGGGCTGGTATTTATATGACAGCACTCTCGGTGCTAGGAATTAAAAGTAAAAATATTATCTCCATCAGTATAAACATATATACAAATTTTATATATATTTTCTGACTCTATATTATTATACAGCAAATAGAAGATAAAAGAGAAGGTAATAAGGTTAATTAAAAAAATGTCAATTACCAAGAAAAATGATTCCTTTATTAAATACAGTCTTATACATTTCATGAATGTAGTGAAATCGGCACTTGATCTTGCTCAGGTTTTTAAGCGACAACAAAACCGAAAATTTGGTTCACCTTACCCGTACTTTCAAGAAACAACACAATGTACACGTATTGAAAACATAAAGAACACGTGTTCCTTTGATAAAATCGTTCGTAAATTAAAAAGTTTAACCCGGCATAGTCCAGGGAAGGAAATCGAAGTACCTTGCAGGGTATCCTAATTTATACATGGACACCGCCAGAGAACACTTCTTGGCTGAAAGGAGATACAGCACCCAGTACGAGAAGATGACCTCTTGTCTTAAAGTATCACTAATTGTGAGATAACAAAAAATGCTTTTAACTTAATAAATATATATAAACGTTTTAACCCAATAAATATATTTGTAATAACGAATAAACGACGAAGAATCATAAGATTAATTATCCCTTACTTATAACGATGAAATAGAGTGGGACTAGTTACATTTATTACAGATATGTCTTGTGAATAAAATACGAAGTTAACAAAAAAGTATTTTTAATATAAGTCAACAATATGATTAGCCCCTCTCTACTTGCAAAGGGAGTGCAAGAGCTTTGGAAAGTTGATTAAATCTAAACTTCTCATAGTAGAGGGAATTTTAACAGTAATTATAAAATTGGAAGTAAATCAAAAGTAGTGTCATACGCTTCCTTTATCAATCAAAGATCAATAATTCAAATAATTAAGTTTTTATAATAGAGATATCTGGCGACGTCCATAATTTTACGTAATGCATGCTCGCATGTGATAACAGAAACATCGAGTACAAGTATACGCGAACATGCAAGCAAGTTTCTCGTAATTGTTAAACACGACATGCTCATGAGAACTAACACGACTTCGTGTCGTTTTAACGTAAAATCCACAGTCGGTTACGATGGAGGTCCAAGTTTCACCAACTTCATAACTTCATCATGGACCTGAGAACACGTGAATCTAAAGATACCATTAACGTAACTTTCCCAGTCTCTTCTCTCGTCTAGCCTTATTTTATCGTCGTCAATTACAATCAAGAACGTCGAGTTCGTTTGCATACTCGGTTAAATTTCAGTATCCGAAAGTTTGCACGAGTGAACGCTTTACAAAGTGAAAGAGGATAGCATCGATTCCGTCGACGAGATGAATTAGTAAGATTAATTGAAAATGCGAATTTTTGTCATCAGATTTCGTTGATCTTTGATTGTTTCGACGAACAATGAAAATTTAGCACCTTCCCTTACATTAAACGCACTGACTAATGCGATAAATTATGTCCTCGAGCGAAATTCGAACTTTCGACCACATGTTTCTTTGGACAATGGTACAAATGTCACAACAAGTTTGACTTTGAAAATAATAATGAATGATAATAAATGGAAATAGATTACTACGAAAGACGTTCGTTAGTCAGACACTAAATGACGTCATTAATTCCACGAAAATGACTCATTAACGATTGATTAAACTTTATAGCGCAATCTTGCTACATGGCCCGGTGAGTCTTCAATGCTACAACTTATATGTTCTTTTCCACCACTTCTACGTCTCCATCTAGGGCCATATAGCGGGACTGCGCTGTAACTTTCAAATATTAAGAACACAACAACGCATCATGTGTCTTTAGCGTATTTACAACGTATTGAAAATCAATGTTATAAAAATTTCAACATTCCGATGTTTAGTGCGCTACCGCCCGATCTTAACTCTACAACGTCGTTCAAAAATAAAGTCGTATGCTATGGGAGAAGGGGAATACACTTTTGGATGCCGGGGACCGTAATAAAACTACACGATAATATCGCGGGCACGTGGTGTCTAGATGTGTACATGTGTATGCGGGTGGTACGCTTCGTTATCGACAAGCCACGTTCAGAGATCGGTTCTCAGTCTGCGCAGCTTGTCGTAATAGAAGTTTATCATCGGATGTTGAAATTTGTTCGCCTTATATCATGAACTACGACCGCAATTTGACTCGCGGACGTATTTCGCCCAGGTACGAGTAGGAGTAAGGTCTCCCTTCCTAAGTCTACGTTGATCGCCGCTCGCGCGTGCTTGTTCCACGATCTTGCGATGGGTCTCCTCGTCGTAGTTGCAGGTCAAGCTCTTCCTCAGCTTCGCAGCTCCAGCTTCGAAGTTGGCTGGTTGACTGCCTACCAAGACATGAAGGTCGTTCTTTTCCTGTACAGCCCAGCCCCACATGTCGGCGATCGAGCAGTTGCACACGAATGGATTGTTCAGAAGATTCACAGACAAGAGATGCCGATTCCACCGGAAGACTCCCGGAATAATAGTGCTCAGATTGTTGTTGCTAATGTCTAGATGCTGTAGCGCACGCAACTTTTTCAGACAAGCCAAATTTTCAACGCGGGATATGTTGTTTCCAGACAGGTTCAGCTGAGTAAGGTTCTTCGCTGACGTGAACAGGTTCTCGTTCAGATGCAACAGACCACAGTTGCTAAGATCGAGGGTTTCGAGGTTGGAGAATTGCTCAGGAAGAAGAGAACCATTCTCCGGAACCTCCAACGGATTTCCGCTGAGCTTCAGCTCAATTATATCAGTACTGGTACGATCACCGAACACCTTCGGATCGATGGGCGTTTTCAGATCACAGTTGTTCAATTCCAGACTCTCCAGTCTCGTCAGATTAGCAAACAATCCTTCTTCTAACGTGTGCAATTTGTTTCCTGACAGGATCAGCTTTTTCAGGAAGGTCATGTGAGAGAACGTATAATTTCCTACATAACCAAGATTGCAGTAAGACATGTCTAAGTATTCCAATGACTCCAATGGATTCAAAAGGCTGACGAACGCGTCTGATAGGGGATTGTGAGAGATGTCGAGTTCCTCCAGGTGCTCAAAGACGTGGAAGGCGTTTGGCAGGCGTCGCAGGCTGCAGTTGCTCAACGACAGCTTATGTAGTTTCGGCAGGTGGCGTAATACGGCAGTTAGGTCAGCAGCGAACATAGGATTGCCGCTCAGGTTCAGTACCCGCAATTTGCTCGAATTTCTGAACGCCTCTTCTGACAGACGATCTTGTAAATTACAGTTCGACAGATCCAACGATTGAAGACTGTGCAGATTGTGGCCGAGAGTGTTGCCGACATCCAAGTGCCATAACTCGTTATCCGCCAAGACCAACTGTCGCAGGTACAGGTTTTTGGCGAATGCATCTCCTGGCAAATTCGTGATGCCGGTCTTTCTGATGTTCAGATACTCCAATCGGATCAACGGAGCAAGAATACTTGTCCAGCTTAACGTTCGCAAATCGTTCTCCGCCATCTCGAGCTCGCGCAGATTTTCCAAATGAGCGAACGCATCCGGAGACACGTGAGTCAGGTTACAAGCGTTCAGCTTCAGGTACTCCAAATTGGTGAGATGATCGAACGGGCCTGGTTCTATGCTTCCAAGTGGATTGTGGGATAAGTCAACCTTGTTCAGGTTCGTCGTGTTGTGGAAAAATTGCGTATTGAGGCGGCGGATACCGCAGGAATTCAGATCAAGGTAGAGCAGGGTGCGACTATTTAAGAAGTGACCCTTCACCTCGTCCAAGGGGTTGTTCTGAAGTTCCAACGTAATCAAACCTGGATTATCCCTGTTGAAGGATTAAGCACGTAATTATAGGATTGTATATGGGAATACAAGCGGATGATACGGATATTGGCGTAACTAGGTATGGGTTTCTCTTTGGGTGGGCCTGGCTGTCTCTGATTGTGGTAATACAACGTGTAGATATCTAAACTCTCTTTAAGCAGAAATCCTAGTTACGCCAATGGGTACGAATAAAAAATTTGTCGAGTTCACGTGTCTCTTGCATGTTTCATACTTAGACTTAGATCTACACGTCTGACATAAAATAATTCTAACTGAATTTGTTTGCTATATGATTCAGATAATTATTTTTTACTAAATTTAACGAGCGCAACAAAAAGTTACTGCGTGCAGATTATTAGAGCAAGGAAAAACACCGGATAATTGCGGTACGTGAAAAATAAAACGATCTTTGAAGCTTAAAAGAAATATGAAAATCTGACAAATTAACTGGTAAACAAAGAATAAATTATCTGTCTATACAAGGAGCAAAAACAGTTGTTTTCTACAACATTAAGTCTGCATTCGATCAATAAATTTGTATGATAAGAAACTACTTACTGATCGCATTGCTAAAACAGCATCCATCGATTTGATGCAAATTACGGTAATATTCAAGGCAATATTGTAAAATCACATTTAAAACACATGACTACAGAAACTCGTTATTTTCGTCTGAAAAAGACTCCGGTAAGTATCATTTTTACACATCTGTTGGAATAATGTTTTTCAATATCACGTGTGTGTATTACATAATATTAATCGGTGATATTTCAATATTTCCTTGAAAACAAAAATCGAGTGCAAAGTAGCAAGATAACTCGGGTGCTTGCATATTTACATTGGTATGAATCTAAATTCCAGAAATGAACACGAGAATATAAATGCAACATATCACTGCAAAATTTAACGTATATTAAATTTGTCATAGTATTCATAAGTGTTATTAGTTCAAACTACATTTCAAATTTACAGAGTCCTGTTTTACTTTATTAAAAAAACTCCATATAATTACTAATTATAGATAAAATCAACTGAGAGGTTCTGTTCTGAATTTTCTGATTTTAAGTTTCTAAAGCAAATTTTATTTCAGTATTATCAGAGATTTCATCTGAGATAACTAAATCTTCGAGTCGTAAAATTCAAAAGTTAATTTCCTTTAAGTGTCTTCGTTATCGGTGTCTATTAAAAATCTGAGAGGCCCTCACCTGAATGCCTCCGGATCGATATGAGTGATCGCGTTTGACGAAAAGTCGGCCTCCAACAGATAAGTTAACCCGGCAAACGAGTCGTGTTTCAGTTCGGTCAATTTGTTGTGTGCCATCTGGAGACGCCTGAGCTTGATCGACTGTGGAAACGGACCGATCCGTGCGATGTTGTTACCATTCATATCCAAAATGTAGACATTAGGGCTAAGCTCGTCGTACGGGATGCTGGTCAAATTGCTTTCGGAACAGTCCGTCACCCAGTTGACGCGAAAATAATGGCAATGACAGTCCATGGGACATTCTTGCTCCACCAGCTCGCCATTATAAGCGAGCGTTGATGCCCCAAGAGCCACTAATAGAAGCAGCCCCAGCATCTTGGTGGATACGCCTAATATCTGCAAAAAACAAAATTGAACGGATCAGTATGCTGCAGAAAATTTTGATTATATATCTAATATAAAATGCATCTACGTAAATTTATTTAATGTTATCGGTTTGTTTATCGATGCAACTACACGTGCGCCTAAAAATAGTAAGTCTAGACTTTTTATTTGAGACCTTTATGTCATATCATCGCTAAGATAAACAGGGTTAAATGTCGTATCAGCAGCTTGCACGTAATGTTGAACTTGGAATTATACTACGCTTTGGCTTGCCGATTAGGTATTTGATCTAAGGATCTACAAGTGACGTAGAAATATAGAGACAATATTACTGACTTTTCATATTATACAACAAACATATCTTTTTTTATAATTGAAAATAATGACATAATAACGTGATCAAATTCTGCACGTCACATATTACAGAATAAATTCGTCGTAAAAATTAATATACTTGTCCTTCTGAAACGGCTTATGACTGAAGAATTAGTTTACTATTCCATTTGAAAGTCGTTCTATATTTATGAAACAAGAAATCCTATTATCAATTCGCATACGTGACATTCAACTCGTAAACAAGTTCCAGCTGAAGCTATAGCAAAAACGTTCATTTCTTAATTTTCATTGAAGGTCAAATCGTGAACATTCGCGTGACCATCGAGGGCTATTTGATGACTAAACGAGCCGGTGAACAATTGCTTCAGTTGTCTCGTCACGTACAGTGTACAAATTGCGAATGAATACCATGCAGCAGTCGAGAGAAAACACCGTCGCCGAGATTTACTTCGGCCAGTTACGATGTTCATTGCAGTGTATTACCAGCAAGATAACTGGCCAGTACTAATGGCTTAAAGCAAGTGGAGCAATTGTCAGTTAGGTAGGAACGGACTTCGCAATTGGCGGTCGGTAATTTCGAGCAACAATGCACGGCGCCACAGGTCGTTGAGCTGCGACTTGTTAATCGTTTCCGTAAAGCGCTCTTCACTGCTCTCTCTTCGGATATTTTTTTTCGCAACGACAGACAGAAAATCTCCTAAACTATTATTATCCTTGAATTCATTGCTACGAACAGTTTGGTACTCGAGACTTAATTGACGTGCTCGTTCTTCGATCGTTTACCTTAAAAGAAATAAACTAAAGAGATTATCGATCGCCAAAATGCGATAAGTTCCGAACTTGGTCGCTTCACTTGGAATGTTTCAAGCTTATATTCAGGGCTTTAGAACGCTCCAAAAAGTCGAGGTGCTTCAAAAAATATCAGGTGTTAAATTCGGAATGTCGAGCTTGGAACATCTGAAAGTCGAAACGTTTTAAACTTGTAACATTTGAAATGTTCGACCCTGGTTACACGTATGTTCCTGCTACCTACGACCGTATATTTGAACCCATTAACAACGGTCCACCGATCAAACGCGCGCGTATAATGGAAGTAATTTGTACGTATTAAATTCCGGGTACAATTGTCTTCATTAAGACGATGAATAACATTCGAGGAAGTTTTCATGGCGGGTAACCGTGGTCGCACACGAAGAAAGGTGGTGACGCCTCTGGCCAGCAGTCAACTTCAGAGACGCAGAGTGGAGAAGAAAGGGCTTTCCGCCAGAATGATACGCATTGCACGCTTCACTGCACGCTTCTTCTTCGGCTTTCCGCGTACAGTTTGCCTTCGGCTGGTCCATTACTACCCCCCAAAGAACGAAGGATACGAGGAAGAGTATTTTTCTCCTTTCGATTCCTCGTTGTATTTCTCGCTGTCGCCTCGCCTTTGGCGCCACGGATCTTTCGTTTTTGAATCCCGCTCGAGCCAGGAACCCTCTCCCTTATTTCCAATGGCAACGATGCATGCGGCGAGGGAGGATCGAATCATTTGCATTCAGACTTCGGGCGAGACATTCATACTTTTTGCAAATATCGTCATCTTTATATACGCCAGCTTTCGCGTTCGGGATTTCAAACATCAGGGTGAAGAGAGTTGAACGCTTTGAAGCTCTATGTATGAGTCTGACTGCTTTTAAAACGATCCGATTCTTTTTTTCGTCAGTAGTTTATCAGCAGCAGCGTTTCGCAACGTCGATTTTTTTTCATCTGACTGTGTCGGTAATGTGACGATCCTGCACCTCGTGATCATGTTATACAAGGTGATCACATCCGACAATCTGACACATAAATGTTCCGGACAAAGGTTACGCAAAACAGCGTATCTGATTAATCTCGAATACTCAATTCACTCAAATTTTTCATATCAATATTTCTACCTAAATCTACATTTTTTAATTCAAGGTTATCTTAAGGTTATAGTACAGCATGTCATTTAATTTACCTATTATTATGTAAATAATTGTACTATTAACAATAATCAAAATAACCTTCATATTTTAACAAAAATAAAATTTTTTGTAAATTTGTTAACATCCATGTGGCGGTAAAACTTTTGTTCGAAATATGTATGGTCAGATTATCGAAGGTTCGCGAAAAATCCTGGCGATCGTTGAACACCCTGTATAAGTCTGCTATACTTGCACTCTAATCTCTTAGTACAAGCACGATTATGTAAACGACGACACGGGACTCTCTTCCTGTAACTTGTAATTCCAGTTCTTTCTAGATGAGTCTAGTCCATAAAAATTACATCTTTTGACAGCTAAATGTTCAGCAATTACCTGAAGAAAGGTTATCGGTTTAAATCATGATTGCATATTATTCAAAATGTGATGTATAAAATAAATTAATTATTGTTTTATAATAATTCTTCTTGCGATTTATGAACGAATACCTACAACTTATTTTATCTGTCGATTTAAGTAGCTGTTGTAACTTTATGAGATAATGAAGTCTGCGGACGTTAGAGTCAACGATAAGTGATTTTCTTCACAGAACAGCAAACTCTGTCATTATCACCTTAAACTGCCGCACGTACAATCAGAAGTAATTTCCTTCGAATTACTGCAGTGAGAAAAGTTTTCTATTGTTTCCAAATTCTCCATCTTCCGAATTCTTAAACTTCAAAATTTCGAGAATTATCGATCGAAATTCGAGTAGCAGTTTCTCCCTTTGTTGTCTTCCCTAGAGAACTTCACGCTGCCCGCCAATGTACTTTCTCGAGCGACTTTCTTTACCAGAAAAAAAACAACTACGCGACATACAACGTTAACGCACGAAACATATTTCGTTTCTCTCGACACTACTGATTTGTGAACTTTGGGGAACCACCAAATTTTCTATAGAAAATCGTGTTAACAATATTATTTTATTCACCTCGTTATATCACGACCTTTTTGCATTCGGCTAAAAACCGACGCGCGTTTACGTTGATTTCACGGTGAACTACGTCGAATGAATATTCATGGGGAAAAAAATTGGTGGTTCCGGCGTTGCGAAGAATTTCAACGATTTACCGCGAAAACGTTGGCTCGCGTACGAGTTGATTGCAATCGAGAATGCCGCTATTCATGGTGCTGTATTTAGAATTCAACCTATAAACTGAAAACGTACTCTACGTACCGGAAAACGGTGTATCCTTCCTTCCACGAAAGAGTGAGGTTAATTCGCGAGCCCCGCGAGGTTACGAGCGTGTCACTGGACAAAGATAGATTGAACTGTGAGTTTGCTGAGACCCGGTTAAATTAAACTGTGTCTGACTGACCGAGGTCAGGGTAAACCTACTGACGCGCACTCTCGTTCTTTCTGCGTCGTATTAGCTCGTGATGCGCGTCTTCTCGGGGTGTTATGTTTCTCTCCCTCCTTTTTCGCTTTCACATGTGATCGTGCACGCGTGTATCTTGAGTGTCAGCCCCTCTATTGCTGGACGAGCTTTATTATCCGTTAATAAAAAGCAAACACGCAAGAAGTTCGTTTTGTTTTCATTCGATATTTTCTAACCTCTTAATAAACTGAAAAGGGCAAATCACTTGTTAACGACGATACCTTTCCTCACAGAACGTATAATTTACTCATTACTTTCGTAAATCACTGTTATTTCGCGTAATTACCTCGTCGAATTTCAGACATTTCGTTTTGGAAACAAGAAGGGTTCATGAAACTTGAAAATGTATGTACATTTAGTACGCATGCGTGGTGAAACTAACCCTTTTTTTAAAAACACGGTAAAATAGAAATATTCATTGTTAAACTGAATTTACACGATGCGAATGTATAAATTTAATGTGCAAATTTATAGCCAAAACGTAGTAAACATTCTGTTGTTTTTAGATTTCCACTTTTGGAGTATCTGGTAATGTGATGCTTACATCGAATGTGTCATATCCGACACGTGTTTATTGATTATTCATTAATTGCGTAAATTCTAGCGAATTTAGCATTTTTGAAGCACAGAAATGTTTTCAAATAATTAACGAAATCGCATTATACGCAATAGAAGACGTTTCGTAATAGAAGCAATAAATATAAAATAAGATGAATCAATGAATCGATTGTAATTATTCACATTTGTACCTTTGGTCACGTGAGACCATATCGCGCATATATGCAAGTATTAATCTTTTTTTATCAAGTGCGTACCTTGCCTCGTGATCTCCACTTCTTTTTTTGACCAACACCGTTATTCGGAACCTTTTACTTGCGTAAACACCACTTTTAATACGAAACACCACAGAATAACGATTATCACTGAAGCAGCACCGGTGACATCATGCGCATGCGTATTACCGCTCTCGATTGTTTTGGCAATAATATTTAAAGTAAAGATCTATTTAATCTAATTAATGTATCAAATAGACATGTGAGATGGTATTTTTAATCTATGACCTTTTTTATGCGACTGTGCAACACACTTCGCAATAAATACTGTTCGTCGAGAGATAGTACGTATACGCGACACTTGAAGTGCACTGACTGAGCACGAATTTCTTTTCCGCGTGTTTATATGAATTGTATATACATATATCTGCACATACGTACGTGTGCGTTCAAGGTGTGCAACTTAGTAAGTGGAGAGAAAACCAAGAGATGGGGCAATTGTGTCGCTCGAATACCGGCAAAACGATGTTCGAAAAAACTGGTTTTTTCTACTGGACATGGCGAACGATTAATGCGTACATTGTTGCATATTTTAAAATACCAGGATCGATATACGTATATTGTCAATACTGTACTGTCAATAATTATTGAGAATGCGGAAATAATGGTAGTATGAAGAGTGGCCAAAAAGTCATGATACAAGTGGTCGCTTGCAAATACTTCGAAGAGGATTTGTAGTATGACAGTCTTTGCAACAGTAAAAAAAACTTTTTCATTGTATTATGCATTTACTATTTTAATTTGTTTCTCTTTACAGGAAGTATAAAAATGTAAGAAGATTTTCAGGATTAATTTATTGTACTGACAGGAAGTGGAGACTCATTTCCTGCGCAATGGTAAATATAATTCAAAACACTTTACTGTAATATTTGACCGCTAATTGTCATAATACAACAAAGGTGGAGTATATTGAATACCTATGGAGGACAATGGGAAATCGATATGGCATAGATATGGTACGTGTCACTCGTATGTCTGAAAGCGTTTGTTCACGTAGTCAATGCGTGATTGAGTGATGAGTGCAGCACGTCGAATTCTGAAGAATTGCATTCGGCAGAATTGGAAGCGGAGGTTAGGCATTACGCCAGCATTGCGAAATGTCGGGTATAGGGATCTCATGATCTTGACTACGAACAACGACCTGCCAACCCCACTCGTATTTCTACGACGAACGAGAGAAAGAGAGATAGATAGAGCATCGATTAATTTTGCAATTGACATTAGGTTTGTCGATACCCTGGCTCTGAATTACCGCCTGAAATTAATTTCCCTCTTATACCGGCACATCATAGATTCGGTCCTTCCTTTTTGAACAGCATGAAACGACAGGACTGCGGGAGTATCAAGGGCGTGAATTTAATGGTCGATGACGTGCATCTTTGCTTCGTATTTAATCAGACGGAAACGTTACACGTGCTGTTTAACGATTCTCGATTTCCTGTCAAAACAAAATTAACTTTTTCATATAATGTTACACACTTAATATAATTATATATTTATTGACGATTTATTAATTGTAGATTTTTTAATATGTTGATACATTAATATTAAGCATATGTATTTAATATATCTAATATTTTATTAACATACATATGTTTTATATTAAAAAACATATTACAAATATTTTATACTATAAACATAAAACGTTGAGAAAATATTAAAAGTGCTTCACGAAAAAAATGTTAAAGATACAGGGAATCACTTTTAGCATGGAAACGTTTATCTGAACGTATCTGTCACGTTTTTTTACATGTGTACACCATTTTATATTTATGTGTGGATTATAGACATTCGATACATTAACGATGTATCTTCGCGAACGGTTTGTCTGTATTATCATGCTGTTTGTTCATGATGCGCTAATGTAATTATCAGAGTTTAAGGTCATTGAATTGACTTTTGCTTTTATTTGTACGCACTTTATAATTAGAAATTAGTGCATCTCAATCTGATATACGTATGTATTACGTGTCTACCCTTTTCCAGTTTTTTAATATAAATATTTTATGTAAATTTGAATAAGTATACCTTGCTTGGTTTATAATGTTCAACAAATTCAGGATAATATATAACAATTAGAATTATTTCTCAGAAAGTTTAAACGTTAAGTGTATTTTAAACATTTGGTCCAATTTTACCATTATAAAAGATAAAGTAATCGTAGACAGATATCGTTATCGACGTTACCAAATCACGCGCTCGTTCAACGTATACAACCAGATGGCGTTGTCGTGTTCATATCAGATAATGTATAAATATCGTTATTATAATAATGAAAAGCATTATAATATCAAATTTTTAATCTTTCGATGCAGAAAGAAAGTATTATCATTAGCATTAAATATACACGTCATACAGAGTGAATAAATTATAATTTATCATTTTCGTTTGCAGCGCTCGTACCGGATGTCTATCGCAGAAGGTAATTAGCAGAACGTATGATTTTGCATTATCGTATCATCTATAACTGGACCGAGGTAAATGAATAGGTATAACATTTCGACGTACGCTTTAGCGATCTCGTTGAATCGAAACGACAACCGGTATCGCACGTATGTATCAAATTTAATTAAATCTAGTCACGTTAATGTTTCGTCCCGGATTAAAAACCCTCTGACGATTATTCTTCTGATTATAGATTTATAGCGGAATTACAGTCGTAAGTCTCGTGTATTTTTTGGCGCTTATATTCTCCTGAAATTATGTGAGAATGACTTTGGCAAACCGCCAATGTTCCCCGGACTGTGCGGAGACAACATGTACGGAGCAATGAACTTTAGGAAGCGTGACTTCGGACAAGATTTCCTCTTTTCTTTCCGACGAATTTTTAGTTGTAAAATTTCTACACAATGCAATTGTCCCATTTCTTGATTCACGACCGTTTCCATGGACCATTCATCGTTGTATCTGAAGCGTGTAGATAGCCTCTGCGTTTCCGTTCGTCGCATGGGAGATGCAGGAAGAGCTACTCCTTTCTACTCCCTTTAGATCATTGTTTCCTAATCCAAGGTACTAACTGTACGTTCAACGAACGCTTACGGAATTACGAAGTAGAAATTAAATATTTTGCTTGACCACAGGCTGCCGGGGACCGTATTCTTGCAAAGGAAGCCACAAACCGCCTTTGACCATAATGCTCTTAGCACAAGGCGTAAAAGACGGAGTATTCCCGACAGTGGACTTAAAACATTCCTAACATTGGTCGTGGTTACGAATCTGTACTTAATTTTACACAGAGCGTGCGATCTCTTTTTTGTAATTAGGGACGGGTTAACCATTAGGGTATTGAGGGGAGAAGGCACCACAGAAATTTGTCATTACCCGATTTACCGCACGGTGCAGGTGAGCCACGTTTTTCACTTAGATTTATTGGGGGATTATCATTCCACGATAAACGACTAAATTGCATATATATTTGAGATGTTTAACATTCGTTGAATTTTAAATTTCTTTTTTGTAAAATTTGTTATTCGATCATGTATCGTACTGAATTTTCTGGGTACATAAATTGGATACAGTATATAATAGTTTTCGATTTTTAATTTGTGTAGTTGGGTATCGTTAATATTATAATATAGACAATATTAATATACCACTATGATCGGATTAACGGAAACTGAACAAATTTTCCAGCGAACGTCATCCAAAGCTACAGTGTCCTTTGAATGCAATCAACCGCACTGTCATGCCTTCATGCATCACACCCACATTCGCGTCAAGGTTAGTTGATTCTGAATAACTACCACATTTATCTTACATATTCGTACAATCAGATACGTATCCACGTACAGATACAATCTCGAGACTAACTTCGTTCAAAGTAATTTTCTTTGAGTAAGAATAATCTGTCGTTGACGCGTGGCTCGGAGCTTTCGTCGGCCGGAGTTAGGGCGCTGCCTAGGCTGCAGGTTAGGGTTGTAGTCGAGAGGAGCTATGGAGGTTTGGGGTTAGCGGGATGGTGGTAGTGACGGTGGTGGTGATGGCGATGGTGGTGGTGGCGGTGGTGGTGGTGGTGGAAATGGTGGTGGTGAGTGAGCAACTGCGCAGATCCGAAAGTCTCTCAGCCGCGAGTACGTAGCCAAACTCCGATTCAGTGAGGACTGACTGTTCCTGTTTGCAGTGCAGCTCGAAATCTCAGGGAGAAACCGCGGTCTTTCGTCCTCTCCTCCTTTTCTCTCTCTCTCTTTCTCTATCTATCTATCTGTCTCTGTCTCTTTCTTCCACCCTGTCCGCTAATCTGTCTGTCCCTCTTCCCCCGGCGTCGCTTCACCCGTCCTTTGTTTTAGTTTCCCTCACCGCGGCAAAGTACGTGCTTAACTTTTCCATTCGGTCGTGTATTTCGACAAAGTTCGTACGCGATCGGTCGTGTACCACCGCAGGACAGCCCCGATTCTTTTCGGTGGCGGTTCGACAGCCAGTTTGGCTCGTGTACACGAACGCAACGCGTCGGGACCGGGTGTCCTGTCTGGCTCGGGAATCGCGAGTGTTCCCCATGGGTAGTCACGTGGCTGGGCAACGACAGTGATTCGAGGAGTCCGGTTCGTTTTAGCCCGGATGAAACCGTACGCGTGCCAGTTGATCGTCGTTCACTGAACCGTCGGACCCGGACCGGGATCAGGGACTCCGGAGGACGTGTGCCGTGTGTGCGATAATCGACGCTGGGCCAGGTCGATGTGCACAACTCCGGGGAAACGTACTGAAACTCCACGTCTGTCGGTGTAAGTACCACGGCCACCCCTTTCTGTACGTTCAACACTAACAATGAGTCACAGACGTCCGCCCAGCGGCAAGTCAGCTGTACGTGGCTCTGTGCAAAGAATTGCCCGTTTCTTTCAGAGCGACGCGAGGCACAAAGTGGAGCCCGTCTAAGCGACGGCACATTATGCTCCGCGTAATATAATTAATCCTTTTGGAAGGTACGAACTTATGTACCTCTGAAATCGACTGTAATTGTTACGAAGAATCGACTGCGTTGCCTTTTGTTTAACGAGTAGACTTTGTGCGGCGTGTACGGGGTAGGTATACTGCCCCCGTATCGTCACCGGCATTTACCGGACGCATTAAACCGTTAAAGGGTTAATAATTACACTCCATATACGATGCATCCTCTATTCATAAACTGTGCAGAAATCCATTCCTCTAGAGAATAAAACATTCCGTAAGTGCTGGTTAGAGAAGAGATTTAATAGAGAGATCTAATTAACGACGGGGTCTCGGATATCGATGCCGCGTTCAATTGGAACGTCCGTTCTATCGGGATCTCTGTAACTATAGCGATCCTCAATACGAGAATTATCGAGCACAAAGCTTAATACGATTTCGTAAAAATCCGCGAGCACAAAAGCGGCCACGGTTCAGTGGTTTATCGTCGAGCGTGGATAACCGGGCGACGCGAGTCGCTGGAGCGTCGTCGATCCCGCGAACTGTTAAATACATTAAATCACGTCCGTCGCCGGAACAACACATATAAGGTATTTAGGAATTCGACTCGTGCCACGAATTTCCTACCGAATTGCCTGGATATCGATGCGGGAAACGCTGGAATACTTCTAATCCCGCTAAGTCCGACTCGCGGGGAGACTCGTTAATGAAATGCACCCTTACCCCGTTCGTTGGGGATATTACTATTTTTCCAGCCGACGGAAATTCACCCTAAAATGCTCCTCCACTATTATTAACACGGACTTAATATCCTGGCGTGGATATTAAGTACGAGACGGTATGCAACCATTGGCGTAACTACTTAGGTACAGGCTGGGGTGCGATTTAACCGGAGTCGGGTATTATCTGAAATAATCCGAAGACAAAAGTTTCCAAAGAAATAAGGATATTTGAAAACTCGGAACAACTTTTTCGTTCAACGACAATTTATTCACGGCCCATAAAATTTATACGCCTTGTTCCTCTCTAATGGAAAGGAACGAGATCAAATTTATAAAAATAACCAACTGTTTTTAATCGAAATTATTCGCTGTACTGAACAAGGCGTGGCTGATGTTTGGATACTCCGTTGACGTTATGCATAAAATCATTTTCTGACGTGTTCACGAGTTTGTTCGAAAGAGTTTTCTTTAATTCAAGAGATTGTACGAGAAAAAGAGAAGTATTCGGCTCAGAGTGTTTATACTCGGCTTATTGAACCTAACAACAGGATAAAAGATTGTTCGAACGAAATAATGCCACGGTATTCTTAACGCTACTTTATTTCCAATTTACCGTGTGTTTATTCTGCTGGGTTTAACGAGAATTTATAAAAGTTGAATATTTCCTATTTGATACATAGTTTAATGCAAAGTATCTACAGTAAAATTGATCAGAATCTCCAAGCGTTCCACAAACATTATTAGGTAATTAATTGCGGAAAATATACTCCCCACGTTCCGTGCACCGAGGCCGCAACTTTTAAAGGACTAAATACTCGATGATACTCTTCTCGAAGAAGAAATATTCGGGGCTCCGAGCGTAAACAATAGCATGTCAGTTAAAGAAGGTCTCTCGAGGCGGAGAGCAAACGTTCGTCGCGATATTAAACACGATTCGCAAGACTGAAGCAATTCGCTTCACGGAGTGCACACGTCGCACATTATTAATCGGACATTTCAGCCAGACCAGAGAAGTGTTTGTCTACCAGCGAGTGGACGTGCGCATGATTTATGAACTTCAACGATACTACTTAGGGCGTATCGCCGTATCGTTCAACTTCGATTCTTCAGAATCATTTCAGTAAGGCTATTCGTAATTGGCACTTTTTGAGATAGCTTTAGTATGAATGCCTAATCAATTTTTTGGACAAAGGGTCAATTCCTGGATTTGAAAATTGGAAATTTTATTGGAAATTACGAGGAAGGTCTAAGTTAAAGTTTCAGAGGGTTTAAGAATTGAGTGTGTAACTTTAGTGTAATCAAAATAAACGTGATCTAGATTTTATTCAGTCACATAATCAACGTTATTATTAATAAGGTTTATGAGTATTCTTGAACGGAGTTCTTGCATAATATGATAGGATGAATCGATATACAAATTATTCAGAGGTCCAGGTTTGGGATTTCAATTTATAAGGCTACTTACCTTTGCGACGAAAGGACACAAGTTGAAAGAAATATGAGTTTTAAATTACTGCAGGAAGAATGTTATACTATTTATTTATTTATGTGGCAACTCTGCACATTGTTAAATGTCTGTATTCATGAATCTACAAGTCTTCAAGTTTCCAAGTTATTAATTCGTCAAATTGCTAAATCTTCAAATGGTCGAATTGTCAAATTATTATTAGATTGTTAAATGGTCGAATGGTCAAATTGTCAAATTGTCAAATTGTCAAATGGTCAAATGGTCAAATGGTCAAATTGTCAAATGGTCATATCGTCAAATTGTCATATGGTCAAATCTCCAAATTTTCAGATTACTAAATTACCAAATCTCCAAATCGTCAAATCATCAAATTACCAAATTACTAAATCTCCAAATCGTCAAATTAACAAATTACCAAACTCCTAAATCTTCAAATCTCCAAATTCCTAAGTTTCTAAGTTGACAAATCTCGAAATTCTCAAATCCCCAAATTGCCAATCCCTCAAATTCTGAAATCCCCAAATTCTCAAGTCCCCAAATTCTCAATTCCCCAAATTTCCAACCCTTCAATTCCCAATCTCCCAAATTCTCAATTCCCCAAATTTCCAACCCTCAAATTCTCAAATCTCCAAATTTTCACTCCCCCAAATTCCCAATCTCCCAAATTCTCAATTCCCCAAATTTCCAACCCCCAAATTCTCAACTCCCCAAATTTCCAGTCCCCTAAATTCTCAAATCTCCAATTTCCCAATCCCCCAAATTCTCAAATCCCCAAATTCTCAAGTCCCCAAATTCTCAATTCCCCAAATTTCCAACCCTTCAATTCCCAATCTCCCAAATTCTCAATTCCCCAAATTTCCAACCCTCAAATTCTCAAATCTCCAAATTTTCACTCCCTCCAATTCCCAATCTCCCAAATTCTCAATTCCCCAAATTTCCAACCCTCAAATTCTCAAATCTCCAAATTTTCACTTCCCCAAATTCCCAATCTCCCAAATTCTCAATTCCCCAAATTTCCAACCCCCAAATTCTCAAATCCCCAAATTCCCAGTCCACCAAATTCTCAACCCTCCAAATCGTCAAATCCCCAAATTCCAAAACCCCCAAATTAATTTTGAAATTCCTAAACCTCCAAACCCTGAAATCCCCAAGCTCCCAAATTTCCTAATCTCTTTCCACAACCTCCACCACTCCTACCCCATTTTACAAACCTTAACCGTTTAATCCCTGGAAACTATAAATTCCAGACAGGCCGAAGCTCCTAATTAAAAATCGGGCAACCGGCGTTCTCTAACTGCTCGAAATAAAGGCAGCGGTTTTAAAGATACACAATTAAAGTCGTCGTCTGAATATAATGGCCGATGCGATTGCTTCCGGAACGATCTCGCGACGAGGCAGAAGAGTTGCTGGAGGTTCCTAACAACAGCAAAAAAAAAAAAGAAAGAAGAACGAAGCGAAGAAAACGGAGCAAAGTATGATTATCGGGTAGGCTGTTCTCGCGCGTTTGTTCCTCTCGTACCGTTTTATCGTCGCTCGATAGAGAGAACAATGGTGGAGAAAGAGAGAGAGGAGGGACTCGTGAGAAATTTTAATAACCGAGGGGACCCGTGGGTCCTGGGGGATGATGGCCGGCTACTTTTCTATGGGCC